TTGAATGGTATGAGGTGGCTTGAGCCCAGGTCACTAGCTGACAGTCACTGGGCAGGGCTGGGATAAATCAACAGCTCCCAGGGCTACAGGCACCATAGAGCTGTAGGGCTTCAGTCCACACAAAATCCAGCACAGCTCTACACAGACAAGGAGTCTGCCTGCGCGCTGGAGCCGAGGTGGAATAAAGACAACTGGCAGTTCGAAATCAGGTGGGCTTATAAGAGATGTTAGCCGTGCTAAATCGTGTAAAAAAAATTTTTTTTGCAATATCATGAAATGGAATCAGTAATCAGTCCTAAATGACAGATAACAAAAACAACCCGTTTTCTGTCAGACATCCAAATAATGCTTTGCACTGCTGCTGTGTTTTATTTTCAATTTGCTTTCAGGTCTGAACAAGGCTCAGTATGACTCCCTAGTTAATTGTTTCAGTGTAGGTAAACACTCTGGAAGAATAAAAAGTGCCAAGGTGAAAATGAGATGGCAAGATCTTGCCTTGTCTGAGGAGGTGCTCACCCTCAGATATTGAACAGCACTTCTTACAGCAAGCAAGCCCAGCCAGTCCAGAGCAGTATAAAAGAGCTCCCCGATGCACACGTGTGCCACGTTACCAGCTTCACTCTGGTTTGCTGAATTTTCTATACCTGTGTCAGGTTCTGGACAGTATTAACCATCTGCATGACAGAGGGCCACATGATTTCACAGGTAGATAAACGTACAGTATGCTGCTGGCACAGAGCTCTCTTTCAATTACATTACTGCCGTTCCTCTGCCATTTTTCATTCTGGGTACTTTTCATATTGTTTTACTGGGATCCTCTGGCCTCACCTCTGGGCCATAAACAGCCACTAAATAGCCCTACGACGGCACCTGTTATCATCGTATTTCCTAAACTTTGTGCACTGAATGTCTTGTGTAGCTATTAAGCTGAAATAGGCTGTTGTACAAAATAATTGCCTCACTACAAGGCAATTGGAATTTTGTAGTCACACACAGTACAATACATTAAAATGCTAAAACTAATGGATGTTTTTTACAATTCCATACGCAAGTTCTGAATATTTAGAAATTAGATCTCTGAAGCATAGATCCTCACAACAAGTTTAAATTAAAGTGATAATGATTAATGACTTCCAGTATTCAAGGAGAAAATTGCTGAACATATTTTGAACTGGAATGTGCAATATGACTTTCTGTCCCATCTACATTAATCATCATCAGTGTACATATTCTAAATACATTTAGAAATGTGTGTTATGATGTTATTCAGTAAGAATGAAATAACTCCCAGTGACGTCTGCTTTGAACATTCTGGAGAGGACAAAATTACACCCTGAAGATGGAAACAATAGTAGATCAAGTATTTCCACATACCATCGTTCCAATAGCTCAACACAATCGCAGCAAGTGGAAACAGGGCACAAAGCAAATGGCTTCAAAGCATGAATACGACCCACTCTACTTAAAAAGGCCCGGTAAAAAAGGTGAACATCAGCAGAACACATCCCGTCCTACAGTTCAGAGCTTCTAACTCTCCAGTGCACATCAATCAATTTCCATCTAACTGTACTCAACCAAAAAACAGAAAGAAGTGACAAGCACCACAGAAATACTATTAACAAAGATGAGAAAAAAATGAACATTATTGGTGAACTGTTATCCCCTGGTGTTTCAGTAATCTCTCTGTTGTTGTTCTAATGTAATCAAGTGTAATTATGTGTGCCTTCTCCTGTTCCGCATGCAGATACTCTGTGTGCTGTTGTGAAAGGGCGGGGGGGTTTCATTATTAACCGAACAATTTCTTCCCCCCCCAAGTCCAGGGCTTCCACAGGCCATGATTAACCCAAAACTGCTAACCAGAATAAATCGCCTCTGATTTAGAAAACGCTGTAAAAAGCACCCTGCTCGGAACACAGGCTTACCTCCTCGAACCCGGCGTTCTGTAACTCCATTAGCATCTGCTTGTTGACCTCGCAGGTGCCCCTGCCCGAGGAGCCGGACTCGTTGGCGAAGGGCATCAGGGACTTGCGGATCTCCTGCAGAGCCTTGTGGTACGTGTTGAACTTGGGGTTGCTGTTTCTCCCCTGCTGCCTGGGGTCTTCGACCGGCCCCTTCCCAGCAGCACCGGACTCCATTTTGGGGGCGTCCGAGGGCCTGGAGAGGTGCCGAAGGCTCTCTCGGATCTCCTGCAGCATCTGATGGCTGCTGCCCCCATAGTTACTCGCTGGGAAGGTTTTGGGCCGCATCTGTCGGTATCCTTCGGGCTTCTCCCCTCTCTTCATGAAAGAACATGTACGTGGGCAATCAAGGCGAAGTGGGGCACCACACTCTCGCCAGCAGGGGGCGTCGCTAGCGGGCAAGAGCGGAGGGCTGCACGGGGCTCCTTCTCCTCGACACGCCTGCTGTTCCAGGGCTCCGCGGAAGAGGGCACATCTGCAACAGAACAGTCCAGCCCAATTCAATGACCGTACTGAGGCCGACCCGTCAAGGACAGAGCTGTGCTACACCTCTCCAAAATCATCACCTGTTTTAAAAGCAAGAATAAACCTGCACAGGATCCACGAAAGAACTTCTTAAACGTTAACTTCCTTAACTTCATGACGGGAAATTACATTCTTCTCCCAGGAAAACCTTCTGTCAGGAACAGAGGAGGTCACCACCTGGTTGTAAGTAGCTATTTGATCAGGTCATCTGATCTAGGACCAGGTGCTTGATAATAGAAGTCGGGGTATTAGCTTCTATAGTGTGGCTGGGTAGGCATCTGCGGGGGAAAAACACTTTTCTACCTTCTCTAGATGGGATCATTGAAATAAACGAAACATAAACAAAACAAAAAATAAAAGAAAAATCAGGAGCACTTCACCACATAAAAGTGCCAACGAGAGAAGAGAAACGTTTATCTCACCTGTGGAACAAATAAGGTGAAGAGATGTACGAGTGTTTATTCGCCGACAAAACGCTTGTGTCTACGATATGTCAGCGCCTACAATAAATCTGGCGGGCACCAACCTCGATATTTTTTACAATGTACCCTTTCAATTCATAAATACTTTCTAAATTTCTCATATCGAAACGATACACAAAACAACCCCCTTGACGTGTATAGAAGCCTATTTTCCTAAAACACCTTGCACACAGTATAGCTGAAGTCACTCGGAGCCAGACCCAAAAACCTGTCGGACCCACATCAACATCTTTTCGGCGTTGCTCGGCCACGACACGGGCATCGCAGCCTGGCGTTAGACAGTCATTTCATGCCACCGCAGAGCAAACCGCACCAACCCCAAACAGAGCGCCCTGTGAAGTGGAAAAGGCACCTACCGGCCCCTATCCCTTATTCGCTGCATGCCCCTGGGTGTCCTTATCAGCGCAGGTGACAATTTCCACATTGTCACCGCAGAAAGTAGCCGCCAGCACCAGGGGCACACGAAGCTACCCTTCCCCGTCGCTTCGCCCCAGCCCTCGGCACTCGCTCCCAGAACAATCCCAGGCTTCCCCCATCTCGTCCAGGCCTCTCCGGGCCTGGCTAAGGTGTGGCCATAAATAAAGAGACAACGCCTCATATGTGGGGGATTAACAAAAAAAAAAAGGCCAAGTTGTCCCAACACCGGGAGCGAAAGCCTCACATGGCCTGTGGCCCCCGTCTCTTTGTAGCCCGGACATGAGGCGACAACCGCCCCGACCTCGTCCACCCCCCATCCCCGCAAACGCGGAGTCCGGACTCGGATTACAGCCGCCGCCGGGGCCTGGTGGGAACCGACAGGGACGCCTCACAAAGGACTCACCGACTGGCCCCCGGGCTTCTAGCTCATCGCCGGACGCGGCTCCGAGCGGCAAAGCGGGCCCGACCGCGGAGGATCGCCGGCTGCCGGTGTCTGCTGGCCCCGCTCCGCTGCGGAGGATCGGCGCCCGAAGGTTTTCCTGCTTTTCCCGTCCCCGAGTCGCTCGGAGAGCCCAGCCGTCTGTCACCCCGAGAGCCCGGATGTGCAGGGTTTTCCCATTTCCCAGCAAGCTCCGCAACCCCACAGCCGCTCTTGCTCCCAGTGCTGGCGTTTCACCGGCTCATTCCTGACCGCCACAAGCGTCGGAGCCTCCGAGACCCGAGGCACTTCGCCGTCCGTAAAATTACGCGTCCGTTTTTGAGTTCGTTATCTTCGTCACGCATGCTGGGGCGAACCCTGCGGCTTGTCCTGTCATTGGCTTGGATTGGGCAGCCGGTCTCTACCATTGAGATAGGAAGAGCATCCGCCGGTGCTCAGCTCAGTTACCGAACTGGGGTGTCGTGGGATGAAGACAGGGCTGCAAACTGCAGACATCAGTTATGACAGATGATGAAGAGTGAATCACAAGCAAGGCGCTTCTAAGCTGGAGCAAATGCGGTTACCAGCATCCACACGATTTTGCCGTAGACTGTCATTGATACACCGGCCCTGCTTGCATTTTTTTGAGAAGTTCATTCAAATCAACTTTATACCGATATTCTTACTTGTATTCGCCAGATAGACAACCGAAATATCTATTTGGAGACGGCCGTCGAAACTACAGCACTTGGAATTCAAGAAAAAAGACAGCGGGAAAATAATAAAATTGGCTTCAAATCTTTGTACTCCCCTGTGTGAAGTTAAAACTTTACCCTGTACAGTGCCCTGTTATCATATGTTGTGCGTCAACGGATAATACCAGCATTTAACTAATTTACAAATACGTTTCTAGAGCCGGTTAAACAGTGGCTGTTCAAAATCATGAATATTAAACAGGAATTTTGTGAATGTTGCAACAACATTTAAACAAACGTGTATAGTGGAAAACAGATAAATACAAAAAACAACATTACTTTTACCTCATTGCCATTATAGAGCACATACATATCAGTCCCATCCTGTAAATCATTTGACCGACTACTCTAAAAACGAGCTTTAAAAGCAAATAATGTAAGGTTATTAACAAAAATACATTTCCACATCAACATTGTATGCAAAGAGCTTTTTGCAAAGATTCTTTATTTAAAAAAAAATAGTGATACAAAAAGAATTATTCACTTTGCAGTTTTCATTACTGAACTATTTTTCCTGGCTTCCAAACAGGACAGGGATTAAACAGAACAGTGCTCCTCACTTCCAGCCCTCAACAGCAAACTCCAGTAGGCCTCGACATGCTTACTAAATTGTCAGCTGCTTTATATTAGGGAGATGAGCACAGGATGAAATTGTAAATCCCTACAGCCCGAAAAGGACCAGAACTGTTTAAGATGCCTTGAGAAGCATGTTCTCTATAAGTGGTTCCCGAGTGACTAGTCAGTTGTTTAACTATCAAGACAGCTGTGTGGAATCATCCAGTACCAGATGCAATAGTGAAGTGTGTGCTATTGAGGGCCCCAATACAGAACAAAGCCTGCCTTCTGTTATACTGGCACATGTCTGCTGACATAAATAGCTTCTCCATCAGTTCCACAGACCAGGTGCTGCCCCAGCACGTCCAGACTGTTCACAGACATTGTCTCGCCAGGAAGCATGTTTGTCGTCTCCAGACGGCCCTTGGAAGAGTCACTGCTCAGCCAGGAGCTAATCAAGGACTGGTTGATGCTGTGAGGGGCAACTGTGCTGCGTGACGTGATGGTAGTGTTCCTCCCACCTTTTCGGAAAACAAAAATGAATCCTTTATTATTGAAATTAATATTCCAGCGTCTGGTTTTTGCTCTACCTTACCTTCCCTAACATTCTAACTGCAGTGTTAACAGTGGAAATGTGTTAATCTACATTTCTTTTGTTCAGTTAAATAAATAAATACCAAGGCTGTTTGGAATTGAAATCTCACTTGGAACAAAAGCCAGGAGAGACAAGGATCCACCCCACGCAGAGTTAGAAACCACCTGTTCAGGAAAAGGTCCTGCAGTGCATTATATTCTGAAACTGAAGATATTTCACTTCAAAATAATTTAACCCCCGTGACTCCTTATTCCTAGTATGTTATTTAAGCTCCAAAGCTATTAAGTTCTTAATTCGGACAACTAAACAAAGAACTAAGAAGTGAATCACGTCTTTTAGTTTGTCTTCTGCACTGGTTATGTACGTGACTTTACTAGAAGAGGTTGTTTGTATAAGAATACTGCACGTCAGCTTTGTCATCTTTATCTTCTCTTATCTCGATATCGAAATGCACTGGTCGCGCTTTGCCTATCCTTCACATTCCAGAGAACCCAAGGTGAAAATAAATGTCAAGAATGGGCTGAAAAGAATATTATATAATCCGATATTAACTTCCTGCTTCAGGAATCAATGCTTTGTGACTTCTGTCATAGATGTACAGATGTACAGGAAATGATACTTCTATGACAGAATGATACATCTGCAATGCTGTACTGTCCCTTGTATGCTTCTAAGGCAATTTTTATTTAAAAAAAGTGGTGAACATTTTGTGCGTTTGTACCTCTTAATGATACTCCTTGTTCAGATTTATCCAGTAACTTTTATACTTGAGGCCTTTATAAACCATGTAGCGCACGCATTACTTTTAGACCCGAACATGACATGACAAGAGTTCCTCGCCATGAAGAAGGGGTTGAGTCTGAGCCTTCCGCTCTGTCCTAACAAAAAACGAGGTTCTATTCGGTCAAAACCCGGTTACGGACGTGTGCGCCTCTCCCACTCCTTTTCAAACGGGGACCCTTACCTTGCAGGAAGGAGGGGGTGTCGGTGCCTGTGGAGTTCTCCCAGTGCCACAGAGAGCCATCCTCAGAGCACGTGAACAGGTGGTCCGGGTTAGAGGGGTGAAAGTGGACCTCCCACACTGGGACGCAAAAGAGCAGCGTTAGTTTCTCCCTACCTTTAAGGCACTCACCGAATACAACAACCATAACGTCTGCACAGCATGTCCGTCATCTAGTGGAAAGGTATTAAAAGTATCTGGCGGTTCGCTAAAAAACAGACGGGCTGATACAAAGTAAAGCCATTACTAACTTTCAGCAGAATGTGCTTCCATCAGCGCAAATGGCATGCTTCCCTGTCTGACATCCCAGATGCACAGCACGCCATCCTGACTCCCAGT